GGATGTCCCTCCAAAATTGATGAAAAGACGAGCTGAAAACTGGTCTGGGAGGCTGCCAAGATACCTACAGCAACATTAAAGGAGCTGCAGGAATATCTGGCAAGTACTGGCTGTGTGGTACATGTGAAAGTTTGCAAAAACACATCTGAAGTCTCCCAAAAGCATGTGGGAAAATGTGTTCTAGTCTGATGAAACCAAGGTTGAACTTTTTGGCCATAATTCCAAAAGATATGTTTGGTGCAAAAACAACACTGCACATTACCAAAAGAACACCATACCCACAGTGAAGCATGGTGGTGGCAGCATCATGCTTTGGGGTTGTTTTTCTTCAGCTGGAACTGGGGCCTTAGTCAAGGTAGAGGGAATTATGAACAGTTCCAATACCAGTCAATTTGGCAGAGTGCTAGCTTCTGCTAGAGAGCTGAACATGAATAGGAACTTCATCTTTCAGCATGACAATGACCCAAAGCATACATCCAAATCAACAAAGGAATGGCTTCACCAGAAGAAGATTAAAGTTTTTTGGAATGGCCCAGACCTGAGTCCAATCGAAAATCAGGAAATGCCCTCGCAATCTGACAGATTTGGAGGGTTTTTCCAAGGAAGAGTGAGCAAATATTGGCAAGTCAAGATGTGCTATGCTGGTAGACTCCTACCCAAAAAGACTGAGTGCTGGAATAAAATCAAAAGGTGCTTCAACAAAGTATTAGTTTAAGGGGTGTGCACACTTATGCAACAATATTATTTTAGTTTTTTTATTTTTACTTCCACCTAAAATATTTCACTTTGTTGTTCAACTGAGTTGTACAGTTTATAGGTTACATTAGAGGTGGAGAAAGGTCTAAAATGATTTATCTTTGTCTCATTTTTTTTACATCACAGAAACGTGACATTTTAACACTGGTGTGTAGACTTTTTATATCCACTGTAAATCCATTTTTCATACATAAGTCAGTATGAATTGGCCCTAAATACATTCTGGTAGTTGTTCTTCCTTCTCATCTAAAGAAAGTTGGGAGGTATGAATTAATGAATAACTTCATAATAAATACTGTTGGCACTCACATGACTAGCCTTTTTGAAGAAATGGATTTTAAAATATTGTGCATATACTGCTTAAATTGGCTTCCCCGAGATGGTAAATGTGGCTGCTAAACTCTTTTTAGTAATCCTAGGGTTGTAATTTCCCTGGAATCCTCTGCCTAAAATCATTTTCATCATTCTGTTGTTTTAAACAGCCAGCACCTTGGCTTTTGAAAATCTCATTTTAGTAATTCTTGCTTGGCATAGCAGTTCCCATCTGACGCAATAAAATACAATTAAGCAGTGTGACAAAATGGAGCAGGCATGCAGTATAAGCTGAAGTTTGCCACCCCTAATGCTCATTTGCATGCAATAATGTACCTGTGTAACAAATGTTATGGCATACAGTGATGGATGCCCTAAGTCAAAATGCACACGGGACGTTTTTACAGTGGCTGTTTTTGGATTTTGACCTTTTTTGCTACAGCCAGTAAACTCCCCAGCATGTTATCCTATGTGTCCATGCACACATAGACTGTAATCAACGTTTTTTAGCAGGGGCGTTTTTTGGCTGGGAAAAAAAAAATCCGGAACTAGTGGGTTTAGCTGGAAAAACACTCTAACGCTGAAAAACACGGTAAACCGTGGCAAACTGGTGTTTTTTGGACGTTTTTTCATGCAAACGCAAAAAAAAAAATGGCGCTAAACACTAATGCAAAAATGCTAAAAACTGCTGAAAAATAAGTTTTTAACGTGACTTTACACAGCTAACTTTCCCAAGCGTTATTAAAACGCCCAGTGTGCATGAAGACTAACACTGACTGCATATCAGCATGCATTTTTTTTTTTTTTTTTTCTTTGTACAAAGGGGAGGGACTTTTTAGACCTGGCTGAAGCAAGCAAGAAACAAAAATATTTTTTCGTACAGGACAGAGGTTTATTTGTTGCTACCTTCAGGTGACCCCCATGTAACCCCTCCCACTGACAGTTATTCTCAGTTTTTTGCTTAGGTGATGGATGTCTACTTTGGTATTGGAGGGGATTATTGTTTTTTTTTTGTTTTTTTACTTCTGTTTTCCTGCTTCAACTTGGATACGCACGAGTCTTTTCTGGCTGCTTCTGGATTGGTACCCTATGCATGACACTGGTATCGTACCTCGAACCCACCTTAGAGATGGAAAACATGGGTCCAGCCTGTAAAGTCACTTCCGGCACTGGACCCTGCATTTAGCACATCTCCTTGGCACACTGCATCACGTGGAGGGAGCCACAGGGTGCTATACAGGGCCAGGATATTGGCTATCCATGCTACGGTGACCCAGTCCCTGAAGACCTTTTTGGGGGGTATAACCTTTCAAAGCATGTGAAGCAGGGAAGCCGCATTCCCCCTTAAATATGTCAGCCATGTTATTGTGCTGATTGGTAAATAGGGGCCTGTTCCCTTTAAATTTGCCTCTTTTTGCCCCCTTGCCATCCCTGTCCAGCTCTTGGTGTGCATTTGGGACTTGGCTTTGTTTTTTACTTCTATATTTATGTTGTAGATAGAGAGAGATATATATATATATATATATATATATCTATATCTATATTTAAAGATGTAAGAGATAAGGCAGAGAACAAGAGCGCAGAGTGTAAAACTGACATTTCTGTTTTCAGCACTGTAGGAAGCTGCATTGTTCTTCCCTCGCCTCCCAATTTTAGTTTGTGCTGATTCACTGAAAGGCCTACTGTAACTGCTTGTGCACTCTGAGTACTTCTCCTCTGACTCTCTAGCCACGTACCTGCTTCTAAGCAACAGTTCTGGTGCCAATTAGAAAAGGTGAATATTTGCTCTGGATCTGCAGTGCGACTGTACTGGTTCCTCAGTTTTTACATAGACTAGGAATGGCAGTTTTGTACAGCCTATTAGCTCTCCTATTGGCTATAAGCCCTTTCCATAGCAATTTTAGTGAGCACCTCATTGCTCACTAAAATCTGTGCAGTTGAGGCTGAAGAGAAAGGAGAAATATCAAAAGTGAGACATCAGTTGATTTCACCCCCTTCATAAGGCAGTTGAAAAATGTAAAAAAAACAAATAAAATATAATTAAAAAAAAGAAAAAACCATAGGAATAATTTTTAAAAAATGAAGGGCTCATTGATGTTTTTTGCTCCCTGAGGAACAGGCACTTTTCAGAGTGTATTTGACAGGTGATGAGGTGGTATATCGCCTTTGCTTGCGGTTGCAGGACGCTTGTGGCGCAGCTCTTTTCACTTGAGTAGGTCTTGTTTGGGGTATAATTTTTGCCATAGCTGAGAAGCATAACATCACGGCTGTGGCATGTGTACACCCTACCCAGCTGCCTCTGTTGCTAAAGAGAGTAACATTTGGTGGGTGGTAAAAATGCAGCTAAACTATGGGGTTTTACTGCTCCCTCAACCTCACATGTGAATGAGCCCTAAGGACTTATTCACACAGGTACTCTGGCCATGTGAATGAGTGAACTATTCATGTGGTTGGAGCTGCCTGTTTCTCTAAGGAGATTCAGCAGCTGTACAAACACAGCCGCAGGTCCTAATTTCACAGGTGTGCAGGCATAGGTGAGTGGCCCCAAATGCACACTCTGTGTTCAGGGCCATACACCTGGACCTACATGCCTGTCAAATTAGGACCTGTGGCTGTGTTTGTACAGCTGCTGCATCCCAATAGTATAATACAGTGTGACTGAGCACAGCTTATAGTTGGCTCAAGCCAAATAAACCACTGATTCACAATGTACAGGCCACAGCACCCATGTGGATGAGACCCAAGACCTCATTCACACACTGAACTTTATGAACTCTACAGTTTTATCTTTAGGATTTAGCAGGAATTTTGTTGTATTTTGTGCCCATAATAATGATTTTAGAGTAAATAAAATTTGATTTACTCAGGGGCCCTGTCAGGTAGGATGTACGGGTACCTGTGATTTTTAACAGCAGCCCTGGTGGGCCTTGTTGATACCTGCTTGCCATTTTTTCCCCTGCACTAGTGATTTTTATGTTTTGCGGTGGGCAATTGTCACTTTCAGTTTGTGGCACTGCCACTGTCTCTTCATTGTACCTCGGGTCCTCACAATAGTATTGCCCCAGTTCTGATTCTTTTTTCAGTCTTGGGGTGTCTTTCAGGGTAATTATATTGTGGGCTGCCAGGTTGACTTATGCAGGCCATAGATGGGGAGAAAAACGGCAGATTTTTCTTTTAAAAAAAAACGAAAATTCGGTTGTTCAAGCGGCCGACGTTACCATCAATGGTAAAAAAAAAAATCGGCCGATTTTCATCCCTTCTACAGCCGGCAAAAAGTGTCCCTGCAGAGAGCTCCGCTATTTCTGACAGTTCTCTGACAGTTCCTTCACATTTACAGCGGTTGAAACATTGTATCTATTTGTTTCCATTTAGGATACAGATGTTTTTATTCGGAAACAAATAGATACATTGTTGCAACCGCTGTAAATGTCAAAGAACTGTCAGAGAACTGTCAGAAATAGCGGAGCTCTCTGCAGAGACACTTTTTGCTGGACTGGAATTCTTCTTATTTTCATCCTACTTCTTCTTCTTTCTCCTCATCCTCTTCTTCTTCTTCATCATCCTCTTCTTCTTCTTCATCCTCATCCTCTCTTCTTCTTCTTCTTCATCCTCATCCTCTTCTTCTTCATCCTCATCCTCTTCTTCTTCCTCATCCTCTTCTTCATCATCTTCATCCTCATCCTCTTCTTCATCCTCATCCTCTTCTTCATCCTCATCCTCTTCTTCTTCTTCATCCTCATCCTCTTCTTCTTTCATCCTCTTCTTCTTCTCCTCCTCTTCTTCATCATCTTCATCCTCATCCTCTTGTTCTTCATCCTCATCCTCTTCTTCATCCTCATCCTCTTCTTCTCCTCATCCTCTTCTTCATCCTCATCCTCTTCTTCTTCATCCTCATCCTCCTCTTCTTCTTCTTTTTCTTTCTTCATCCTCATCCTCCTCCTCTTCTTTTTTTTCTTCTTCATCCTCATCCTCTTCTTCTTCTTCTACATCCTCATCCTCTTCTTCTCATCCTCATCCTCTTCTTCTTCTTCTTCTTCTACATCCTCATCATCTTCTTCATCCTCGTCCTCTTCTTCATCCCTCTTCTTCTTCATCCTCGTCCTCTTCTTCTTCATCCTTATCCTCCTCTTCTTCTTCTCATCCACTTCTTCTTCTTCTTCTTCATCCTCATCCTCCTCCTCTTCTTCTTTCCTCATCCTCATCCTCTTCTTCTTCATCTCTCCTCCTCTTCTTCTTCATCCTCACCCTCACCCTCATCCTCTTCTTCTTCTTCACCCTCTTCTTCTTCTTCTTCACCCTCTTCTTCTTCTTCTTCACCCTCTTCTTCTTCATCCTCATCCTCTTCTTCTTCTTCATCCGCATCCTCTTCTTCATCCGCATCCTCTTCTTCTTCATCCTCATCCTCTTCTTCTTCATCCTCATCCTCTTCTTCTTCTTCATCCTCACCCTCTTCTTCTTCTTCATCCTCATCCTCTTCTTCTTCTTCATCCTCATCCTCTTCTTCTTCTTCATCCTCATCCTCTTCTTCATCCTCATCCTCATCCTCTTCTTCTTCTTCATCCTCATCCTCTTCTTCTTCTTCTTCATCCTCATCTTCTCTTCTTCTTTCATCCTCATCCTCATCCTCTTCTTCTTCATCTTCATCCTCATCCTCTTCTTCTTCTTCTTCATCCTCATCCTCTTCTTCATCCTCTTCCTCTTCTTTTTCTTCTTTTTGTCTTCCTCTTGCAGGTCACTGCTCATGCGCAGATTTTTTATCGGCAAAAAATCGGCCGATTTGCCCACTAATTGCCGCGAAAATCGGCCGATCGGCAAAATCGGCCGATTTTTTTTCCAACTTTACAGAAAAAAAAAAAACGGCCAAAATCCCGAAAAACGGCCGACCAAATAGCCCACTAACGATCGGAAAATCGGCCTTTTTTATTTTCGGCCGAAAAATCGGCCGATTTTCGACCCATCTATGGCCTGCATTACTCTCGAAGGATCACTCTGTCCAGGCTTTGAATGCCAGCATACAATGGACTGTGAAGAAAATATAGAACTTTGGGTGGATCCTTAACCCTCAGAAGTCCTCGTTAGATCTACTCATTGTCCTGTGGGATTGGTTCTGAACACAAACCAGGCCTGGGTTTTTTTTTCCCTCAGAAAAGATCAGGTCTCTTCACTCTCAAGCATGGATACTCCTTTCCAGATGGCACCCCTTGGTGAACTTTTTCATGATTGTTTGGACTGATGGAATCCTCATTTGAGGCACTTGCTTAAGCCCACTTCTACTCCAGGCCACTGCAACGCAGCATCCTTCCTGCCTGGGACAGATGGACTCAGTCTCTAGACCAGTGATGGCGAACCTTTTTGAGCCCGAGTGCCCAAACTGCAACCCAAAACCAACTTATTTCTTTCAAAGTGCCAACACTGCAATGAAACCTGAATATCGAGCTTTTGGTTTAGAAAAAACAACTCGTACAGTAGTGCAAACTAATTAACAGTACAGGGATGACCAGAGACTGCGGACAGTACAGGGATGACCAGAGACTGCGGACACAGTACAGGGATGACCAGAGACTGCAGACACAGTACAGGGATGACCAGAGACTGCAGACACAGTACAGGGATGACCAGAGACTGCAGACACAGTACAGGGATGACCAGAGACTGCAGACACAGTACAGGGATGACCAGAGACTGCAGACACAGTACAGGGATGACCAGAGACTGCAGACACAGTACAGGAGATGACCAGAGACTGCGGACACAGTACAGGAGATGACCAGAGACTGCGGACACAGTACAGGAGATGACCAGAGACTGCGGACACAGTACAGGAGATGACCAGAGACTGCGGACACAGTACAGGAGATGACCAGAGACTGCGGACACAGTACAGGAGATGACCAGAGACTGCGGACACAGTACAGGAGATGACCAGAGACTGCGGACACAGTACAGGAGATGACCAGAGACTGCGACACAGTACAGGAGATGACCAGAGACTGCGGACACAGTACAGGAGATGACCAGAGACTGCGGACACAGTACAGGAGATGACCAGAGACTGCGGACACAGTACAGGAGATGACCAGAGACTGCGGACACAGTACAGGAGATGACCAGAGACTGCGGACACAGTACAGGAGATGACCAGAGACTGCGGACACAGTACAGGAGATGACCAGAGACTGCGGACACAGTACAGGAGATGACCAGAGACTGCGGACACAGTACAGGAGATGACCAGAGACTGCGGACACAGTACAGGAGATGACCAGAGACTGCGGACACAGTACAGGAGATGACCAGAGACTGCGGACACAGTACAGGAGATGACCAGAGACTGCGGACACAGTACAGGAGATGACCAGAGACTGCGGACACAGTACAGGAGATGACCAGAGACTGCGGACACAGTACAGGAGATGACCAGAGACTGCGGACACAGTACAGGAGATGACCAGAGACTGCGGACACAGTACAGGAGATGACCAGAGACTGCGGACACAGTACAGGAGATGACCAGAGACTGCGGACACAGTACAGGAGATGACCAGAGACTGCGGACACAGTACAGGAGATGACCAGAGACTGCGGACACAGTACAGGAGATGACCAGAGACTGCGGACACAGTACAGGAGATGACCAGAGACTGCGGACACAGTACAGGAGATGACCAGAGACTGCGGACACAGTACAGGAGATGACCAGAGACTGCGGACACAGTACAGGGGATGACCAGAGACTGCGGACACAGTACAGGGGATGACCAGAGACTGCGGACACAGTACAGGGGATGACCAGAGACTGCGGACACAGTACAGGGGATGACCAGAGACTGCGGACACAGTACAGGGGATGACCAGAGACTGCGGAAAGCACAGATGACTGCTGACCTTTGGGGAGCGAGGGGGAGCGGGTACCTGAATTTGACAGGTACCCGCTCTTACTTCCGCAGAGTTTTTTTTATCTTACCTGTTCCTTTATCCAGCCGCGCGCTGTCTTCCCGGCTTCTGTAGTGTGGGCGCTCGTCGGACAGCCGGATGCCCAGTGCGCATGCGCGAGAAGCGCTGCGCTTTGTGATTGGTCCGGCGGCTTCTGGGATCTGTCATGTGTCCCAGGTACCGCCTTACCATTCACAAAGAGCACTGCTTCTTGCGCATGCGCACTTGGGACCCGGCTGTCACGCACACTACAGAAGCCGGGAAGACAGCGCGCTGCTGGATAGAGGGACAGGTACGGTCCCACTGCAGAGCTGAGCGGCCGGCCCGGTATTCTGACACGGCGGCGGTGGAAATACCGGACCGGCCACTCTATATTCGCTCCATAAGACGCACTGACATTTTCCCCCCTTTTTTGGGGGAAAAAAAGTGCGTCTTATGGAGCGAAAAATACGGTATTCTCCTGGCGTGCCCACAGATAAGGCTCGGCATGCCGGCTGTGGCACGCGTGCCACGGGTTCGCCATCACTGCTCTAGACCGTCCCGTGTGTCGGTCTCTCTCAGCCCTCCTCTCTCTGACTTGGTGGATCTCTGATCCGGTGTGTGAGTCAGAAGTGTTATTTTTTTTTTCTTTGTCTTGTGAGATTTTTATGACAGATGCCAATCTGTTGTGCTGGGGATATTGATGATTCAGGGAATCGCGTTGGTGGAAGAATTCAAACTTCCCATAAACATTTTGGAGCTCTGAGCAATTCGACTGTCCCCTTCAGCACTGTCTGAACTTTGGTGACTTCAAACACGGATGTCACAGATCCACGGTCGCCGCCACCAACAGACGACAATCGCATGACCGCGACTAACAGTAATACGTCACGCCCATGGCATCAGACCCCAGACCTTCTCACCAAACTCGTGACCGAAGGACTGGCCGATCTAAAAGCGCGATGTGACGCACGTAACAAGGCCCCACCCAGCTGCACCCTGCACAGCGATTGTCCAGCTAATGGGCTACAATCGGTGCCTGCAGCCTGAATGCGCTTGTTACTGGGTCGGGTTAATTACGCAACTAACCCTCTGTCTGCCACCACCGTCTCTTGTAATACCGAGAAGACGGAAACTCTTCTCAAAATACACTATAGTGGTTGAAATATGGATCTATATAGCACGGCCCGCGGACCTGCTATACAGAAATATAACACAGTAGCGTCTCTTCAAAAGACAGGAATTCGTGAATTGCAGGTAAGCGCTTAAAAACAGTTTAACACTTTCAGAAAGAAAGATTTATTACTAAAAGCGTCAAACAGTTGCAACAAAATATTTACAAAGAGATGAGTAATAGGTCCACCTGCGCTGCTAAGTCTAAAAATATATAAAAGAACAACAGCTGCCGACATCCAATCCTCACCTTTTAAATGGACATATAGGTATATAAACAATCAATAGTGATGCAGCGCTGATATAATTAGCAATAAAGTGAATATTAAACCGTGAGGAAAAAGTGAATTCGGTGTTATACAGCCCGCACAAAACACGGCACACAGTAATTAGTTTTATAACATATAATTGCTATTTAGCAGATATAAATGCAGTCCACAGTATATATAGACGAATGGATGTGTTCTTAAAAGACACACATGCTTCTGTGCTGGTGCAAAGTGGTAGGTGACAATCCTTAAATGGCTAGCATGCCTGCTCACCTTCCCCCTGCGACCCACAGGGGCCAAAAAGCCTGTCGGGTCACACCTTGACCCTATGCGTTATTTCCAGATGAAACACTCTCCACTCTCCAGTACTCTCTCCTTCACCATCAGTTATTCCCCCTGAATAGGTACTGCTGCACGTGTATTCACAATGCTCATAAGATGGTGGTAATCATGGAACAAAAGCACAAAGATCCTCCATAGTGTAACACTGTATATCAGCTTTATTTCTTAAAAAACGCCAAGTCACAACTCACTTTTCAGCAGATAAAACAACGCTTGTGACACCTCTCCTGGGTGTACTGAGGCACTCTGGTGTAGCAAGATGGCGCCAAACCCGGAAGTGCGTCACCGCGTCACTACGTCACATCTACGCGTTACGCCACGCCCCTCGTAGCTTCGTCAGGATATTGTTCTTGTCATTTCCCCTGGTATTTATAGTGGGATCTTGTTGTCAATTCGTCAGTGGTCATGTCAATCATCGCGGCCATTTTATCGGAGTCGCGATATTAGGGGACATTATACCGCGGCCATTTTCTTATAGTCTCTCGTTATTGTACTAGGATTGCTTAATTTACCGCAGTACCCACCGTAACTACTAGACAGAATAGGTAACGTGTTCTCACCGGTATATGGTCTTTATTTGCACATATATGCCCAAAAAGGATATCTTTGTTGATAATAAACATTTTTCAATCTACTCTTTATTCTTGTATGTGATGTTGCTATTCCTTGGAAATAAACCAAATATGATAGTTATTTGGTATAAAAATTTGCAATGTCATAAAGATATCATAAAAAATATATAAAATAACAATTTTTATTTTTTTATTTTTTTTAAAAAATAATAAAAATAGATTCTTTTTCTGAAAAACGTAAAAAAACGCACGACGATCAAAAACGAAATCACCAGACTGACACAGTATGCCCATGAGGGATGCACTTATCAAAACATAACAACAAAAGATAAAAACATTAAAAATCACTTATGAAACAGTTCAAATCAAATTCCACATTCAACCCTTTGGGAACTTGGGTTTGTAGAACAAATATCCACTTTGACTCCATTTTACTCAGTGTGCGGATCTTGTGGCTCCCACGCCAATGTTTTTTGTATCTCTCTATACCCCAAAACTGCAGTCCCGCGGGATCCTTATTGTGGCATATTGAGAAGTGTTTGGATACGCTATGTTTAGGGAAGCCCTTTCTTATGTTCTGAACGTGTTCCCTTATCCGCTTCCAGAGAGGTCTTTTAGTGCGTCCAATGTACTGAAATCCACATTTGCACTGTAATCCATATACAACCCCCTCCGTTTTACATGTTATGAAGTCTTTGATT